CGCATTATATATATATATATAATTATTCATTTCTTTTATTTATAATTAAAGTCTTTCAACTTGGTAATTTCAAACAAATCTATTCATGTAGAACTAATACTAATAATATATATATATACTAATATTAGTATTAGTTCTACATGAATAGATTTGTTTGAAATTACCAAGTTGAAAGACTTTAATTATAAATAAAAGAAATGAATAATTAATGTTAAAATAGTAGCAGCACTTGTGTAGCCAGTTATAAGAGACGTTATTTATAAGATACTTGGCTACTTGATTGTCTCATGACATAGCCCGCTAATCGGCTATCTCATGAGATACCAGGATATTTTTTCTGTACTCGGTTAAAATAAAGGTTCCACATTTTCATTTAAAATTCTTGCGATTGTAAAAACTCTTCTACAGGAAATGATTAAATAGATTAATTCATGCATACGTTATAACAGAAATGGCGGAGAGTAAAGAAATTCAGCTGTGTCATTCTTACAAAGTAACACACGGTATGTAGCTTATTTCAAAGCTTTGTAGATTTAGCGTTAAAATTTTATTCAAGTAACAGTTTGTTAACGATTACTATTACTAATAAAAACAATCGCTAGTTATCAACTACTTATCAACGATCGTCAAATTTACATAACAAAGAGCACTCAATATTCTTTGTTTTTCACAACTACAGTGAGCAAGGATAATATTCGAACACTTTTTAAAATGCAATAATGTTTTTAAGATAGGTCCAAACGATTTGAATTTATTAATTAGACTGAATAGTTCATTGGACAATGAGTGAAAACGTTTTTGCAAAAATTGCAATTGATTGGAATAACAAAAAAAAAAATGAAAAAGTTAGTGTTTTCTCTTTATCTGAGCTTATAACGAAAAATTAAACAATACATTCTGAAGATCTTGGTAATTTATACATATACAGGATTGGCTCAGGTTTTTTCGACTAAACGGTAGTAGCATGTTTTACGAGCGAAAATAAAAAAAATGTCATATTAACATAAATTCAAAAATGCTTCATTAAATAATAATAATAATAATAGAGGAATAGTGATCTAAAATCATATGTATGGACGAAAGCAAAAATCGTTTGGATATTGTAGGAACAACAGTCCGTTTTATTTATTTGAACATTGTCAAAAACATCTTGTTACCATTTGCTAAAGAAAAATTACCATCGGGTTGGATTTATTGAGCCGACGATGATCCAAAACACACTGCAAAAATCCTCGTACAGTTACCGTATGAGGAAAAAGTGACCAGCACAAAGTCCGGATTTAAATCCAATTGAGATGCTCTGGATCGACACAGACAAGAAAATAAAAGACAAAAACCAGAAAATATAGACGAATGTATAGAAAATATAGAAAATATAGACGAATTATACAATATATAGAAAATATAGACGAATTATACAAAGTATAATAGAAGATGCATGCAACTCGACTCCAATCGATCGGTGTACTCGTTTAATAAAATTTACTTCTAGAGGGTGTGCAGCAGTCTTTAAAGCGAAGCGTAAATCGATAAAATACTAGCCGTAATGGTAATTAAAATTGTATTTAATCTAATTTGAAAATACTATTATGACTTCAAAGAAATACTGTTTATAAGCATGTGTCCGCAAGGGACACATGAATATATACGTGTTTATAATTTAACCCTTAAATGTATATTGTTGCCAATTGTCTACATTCCAGTTCCACTTAATTTTATTCAAAAACCTGAGTATGTGCGTTTCCGAACACACGTTGATAACAATAGACAATAGACTATGTGTGAAATAAAAGACTTGACATTACTTTTGGCGAGTAAGTTATATGGTTTTTAACATTTGAATGTGGTGGGTGATAACCTTCAACGCGTTACTTGGAGAGATATTTTCTTTTTTCGAGTTTCCTATGAAGGAGTGATTTATCTAATTGAAAAAAAAATTACTTCTCATCTGTTGTCAGGTAAGCTATGAATGTTTGATGTTGCATTTGAAAATTTTATTTAATAGATAATATAAATACATGACCATTTGTTTACGTCTACAATAATTTCAGTAATAAACGCATATTGTTGCCAAAAGTCTACATACAACTTTTT